AGGTATGTAGGTAGGTAGGTATGTAGGTATGTGGTTATGTGGGTATGGGTATGTATGTATATATGTATATATGTATGTATGTATGTATGTATGTATGTATGTATGTGTCTATGTATGTATGTATGTATGTATGTATGTATGCATGCAAGCATGCATGTTTGTATGTATGGATGTATGTATTTATGTATGTATGTTTGCATGTATGTATGAATGTATGAATGTATGAATGTATGTATGTATTTATGTATGTATGTATGTGTGTATGTATGTTTGTATGTATGTATGTATGTATGTATGTATGTATGTATGTATGTTTGTATGTATGTTTGTATGTATGTATGAATGTATGAATGTATGAATTTATGAATTTATGAATGTATGAATGTATGAATGTATGTATGTATGTATGTATGTATGTATGTGTGTATGTATGTTTGTATGTATGTATGTATCGTAGAATTGCACTTTCCACTGAGGAAGCTTAGATTCTGCGGAAAGTGTGAAACATGTCTCCAATGATTTTTCATGTAGATCCTTGGAAATGAATTTGAGCTCGAAACGTCGCCTACCAAATTTGACCCCTATTTCCACCAAGGACGAATGCATTTTTCGAAAAGTGTGGAACACTCCTCAAATTAATTTCAATAAAACTCTTTGAAACTTAGTTTGAGGCCGATCGGATGGTAAGCAAAAAAGTTACATACAAACGTTTTTCGCGATTTTTCCGCACTTGCGGGTACAATTATCACATAAGGTACCTACAGTGAAAATTTCAGCCTTTTAGCACTTACAGTATGGGCTGTGCGTTGATCACCAATCATTCAGTCAATAAGTCAGTCAGTTAGGACAAACAAAGAACAAAATCTCGTGGGAATCGGATCAGAATTGACCGAGTTATGGAAGTGGGAAATTTCAGCCTATGTCTATATATGAATCGATTTTCATGCCTGCATAATTTATTCCAGATTTAGATGATATTTTCAACTTACTTTTCTCGAATTTGGCAAAATATTTCAGGTTATTTTTAACAACTATCTTTTTGGGAATTTAGCAAAATATTTCTGGTAATAAAAAATGTTTTTAATTTTTTTTTAAAATAAGGATATTTTTATTTGAGTGTATAGAGCTTTTTGTTAAAGCTTGTGCGCTTGATTTATTTGGTATACTTTATTTTGCTACTTTATGCCGACTGGAATATTAAAAAGTGAAAATTATTTCAGATTAACAGAACTTAATAACGTATTATTGTCTAATATTCAAGATCGCGTAAATTAAGGTATTCGATTTCTGCAATACTTATTTTTACTCTTAATGCTGCCGCAGCTTTAAGCTGGTGAAGACTTGAAGCCCATTTGCAGCGCTATAAGTTACCCCCAACCCTACCGCGTATCTCTATTACTCGTTGCCGCAAATGGAAAAGCACTTTCGCGCTGAGTGTGTGTGCGTGTGTCTGTTAACCAAAATCAAGCCGACTATTTTGCATACGCAAATAAAAATAAATAAATTGAAATACGTTGGGCGTCGGGAGCGTAACTCCCACTGCCAACACTACCACCCCCCGTGAGCATATAACACGCATGTAAATCGACGTTTTACAACACAAATGCCACCTGTGGGGCTGCCAGCCGCCAGACCCGTTAGCTAGCTGTCAGGGGTGTAGTTGCCAGCTTACAGGTAAATTTGACTTTCTCCACATTTTTTTTTTTTTTTGGGGTAGTCGTTGGATGTAGCTTTGCCAATTGTTCAAATTGCATGAGGTCTGCTTTTACCTTTTTCTTTATTTTATTTTTTTTTGCAGCTTTCTGTCTGCGCCATTTTGCATATTTTCCGATTTTCAGCACGCCAAAAATGGGCGTCGTTTGTGCTTCACTTGACGTCGCTGCTCTAAACATATATATTGGATAGATGTGTATGCAGATTGATTTTCTTTCAGTCAAGCTTTTCAATCGTATGTGCATTATCAATGATTTTCTTGTTTAATTAGTTTTCTATGGTTTTCCACAACTTTGTATCTCATAACCTCATAAAGTATACATATTCTTGGTCAGCATCAATAGCCAAGAGATCTAGCCATATCCGTCTGCCTGTCCGTTCTATCGTCTGTCTGTCTCTCTTTCCATCCATCCATCCATCCATCTGTCTATCCATCCGTCCTTCCTTCCGTCCATCCATTCATCCGTCTCCCCGTCCGTCTGCCCGTATGTCCATCTGTATCAACGCAAGGATTTCAGAACCTTCAAAAGCTAGAAATTTTGAAAATCTGAACATATTTCCTCCTTGGGCCGAGGACGAGTTTGTTTCCGATAATCGATAACTTGCCCGGTTCGGGGCAATCGATGTTAATTGATTTCGAAATCCTGTTTTTTCTGAGCACATCTCTCAGGTTTTATGAGCTAGATTCACCAAACTTGTCTATTTGAGTTTATAGCTATCGCCACCCCCCGCGTCCACAGCATAGCTTAAATGAATATACCAATTTGAACTACCCATCAATTTAAGTCACAATTTTAATGCAATTGTGTGTTTGAGAATATACGAATATTCTATGGCACAATAAAATCAACTGCTGACTATTTCAGGATATTCCCTCTTCGAAAACTTACGACTACAGCCTCTTACTTGCTTTTATTAAATTTAATGTTCGGTTCATAAGTGGAACCACAGTGGAATTCCTGGCTCAGGCTGGTTCGATGCCAAGCAGATTTGCAGCCTTGGGTTACATACACACTCGCCTTGACAGGTTTCATCCGACTTTATGGAATCTTTAAAAGAACTGCACAGCGTGCATTCATACGTGTATCAAATATTTAGATCTTACTATCTGATATTTGCCATATTAGAAACTAAATATTTCTATCAAAGCAATAAAAATGGCATATCGATTAAAGTGTTTTAATCAATTCTGTAGCTGGTTTTTCCTTTTGGGCGAGGACGCAATTACAACTAATTTACTGCCACCCCCCTGCGTATGCAATAAAATGAAATTAAATGCCATAAATCAATGCCAAATATGTTTTGCTAGCTTGCCCACAACTTGGAAGCGTTCATATTTATGGCGCAGATATATACCAATACACACAGCAGAGCGTATGGCTTGGCGCCTTGACCTTTGACCAGGCCATTGCCAGCAAACGGCAAACGCAGCTGGCTTACATTTTGGAAGCTTCTGGCCATTTGGTAAGCTCAAAGACCTTTGATGCCTATGCCATAAATGAATGAAAAAATACAATCCAATTTTTTTTATATTTTTTCCTTTATTCCTGATTAAAAAATAAATAAAATTTTCAATATGTTTTCGTTCATAAAATGTTAGGCGCCAAACGATTTGAATTCAATTTGCAATAAATTTATTTGAGTTTTGATCGAATACCTGATAAAGTTAACAAATACGTACAAAATAAACATTTTTTTTTATTTTATATATATTTTATTATTAACGAGAATACAATTATCTAACCTTCAGCTTAAGCTAGTTATATGTAGGGATTAACTGCTATTTAAACGAAAGAGCACAATCTTTAATTATATTAATTATGGCTTGCCTTAATTTTAATAATCCTGTCAGGCAGTTCCTGGGGTTGGCACCATTTAAGTCTTCACTTTCTTGTCCCAGAAAGCCTAGCTTCAGTAATGGGTCACCCAACTCTTCTTCTTACAGGAGAAAAAACTAAATAGTAAATAACAATATAATAAATAAAGTTTATTTTTTGTTGTTGCTCTGGACAGAGAATGCTGTAGCATAGTTTTTTATTAATTCGTCACTTGCCATTGTGCGGGCTCCTTGAGTGGAAAAGCTTTTAAGAGCCTGAAATTCAATATGATTCGCATTGTGCGAAGCTGTTGATTAAAGTCAAAGGTAGTTAAGAGTAGGTTAATGTACATTTGACAGTTTACAGGATTCAATACCAACAACAACAATAACTCTCAAGAAATCTTTTATGGAAATGTTGCTCAATGGCCGTGTGTACAACAACAGATTGTTCAGCGAACAATGAAATAACAGCAGCAAGGCAAGAGGAAAAAAAAACGCAATCAAATTGAAGTAAAGTGGTCAACGGCTTGTGGGTGACCCGTGGTCAGCACGCCGTCGCTCCAGTGCCAATAGCCGAAACAGAAACAACAACAAAGGCACGTGGGGTGGGAAGAGGGCAAGCGTAAGCATAGGAAACCATGCGGCGGGACCACCTGACCAGATCCAGCGCCTGGCCAAACGGCCAATTCTATGCGGCAACGAAAATAGTCACAATAAAATGCCAACTGCCAATAAACGTCAATAAATCAAACAATTGAGCGGGGCCAAGTTTTGTGACGTCGTGCGCCAAATAAGTCCAACCAACGACGTGGCTCCAAACAGAGTTCCAAGCAGTTCGAATGCTCAAAAAACAAGAAGAAACCAAACGCAGAAAAGCAAAAAAACAATAACCAGGCTTTGTAAGGCAGATCAAACTGAATAGCATGATATATATATATATAGTATATCTGGTTTGCAAATTCCATACAATTTTTCGTTGGTTCGGTTCACGTTTAGATACGGTCCGGGTTTTGTTTCAAGCCTTTACTTGTCATATATTTTCCAAAATTTTAATGAAACAATTCAATTTTTATTTTATAATTGCCCGTTCTACTGAAAATATTGCAAGCCGTAGATAGTTTCATATAGAAGTTGCGGGCTAGATAAGATATCTAACCAAAATTGGCATCTACCAAATATGGTTAGATAAATCCAATGGTTGGCAATTATTTATACTTTTTATTTTAAACATAAATATGGCTCGACTCGGGTTTCAATTGGGCTTGATTTAAAGTTCAGCTTATAAGTATTCAAAAATATATTGGAATAATGGGATCGAGAACCGGTTCGGCTTTTTATAAGTTTTGAAATTAACTGATTTTTGAAAACTATGTGATTCGATTCACTTGGCCATTACGTAAAATATTTCCTAAAATTAAAGTATCTTTTTTTCCGATTTACAAAAGAGCTAGAATTATAAGAATTAAACTTAAATGAGAAATGCTTCCAGTAGTTTATAATTTATTTTCTGTATTGTTGAGTTTCTTTTAACTACTTACATATGTTCTTCACATAGAAGATTTGCTGCGATCGACATGGAATTTATAATTAACAATTTGGGCTTTATTATTGAGAATATCAACTGAAAAATTTCAAATGAACCTTGGAACTACGGTTTGGACTGAGAATTTGGTCGCCGTTATTGGGATCAGCCTTTTTGTCAGACTTTGACGATTTGGGATGTGAGTGAACATTTTCAGTTGCTGTTTAATATTGGGTGGGTATTTGCATTGTGTGAAGGACTGACATCCAAAAGGACAATATATGTGTGCTATGTCTGTAGTATTTGTTTGTTTTGGTTGGGGTATGGTTATTTTTAGTTAAAGGCGGCCATTGGCCGCACTCTAGCGCGTATAGATTGTCTTGACCAAAGATCCCTGCTTGGCCATGGTGTCCTTGTGTAGTTGATACTGCAGCACGTAGGCGCTCTCCATGCGCAGGCCATCGCGCAGCTTGCCACCGATCTCAAGGGCAGCTGCCTCATTGCCGCCATTGGCTGTCCATATGGAGATCTTATTGTTTTTGCCACGTATATTGACAACAGCGCCGCACAGCTCGTGCGAATATTCACAGCTCTCGCCGATTAAAACAAGCATTGTGTCCAGCCAGAAGTTATCCAAATCATTCTTATTCCCTTTGTTCAAAGTGATTACCCAGCGTCCGCCCTTCACATTGGCCTCATCCTCCCACATTGGGCGTATTCCTTTCTTGAACAGACAATAGTCGCTGCCCATTTTAATCTCCGATGGCGTTTTTATATGATTTATGAGGCTCCAGAAGTTCTCGACCGTATTAAAGCTGGCCACCTCGTGCAGCATTTCCTCCCAGCTCTTACTACGATCAGTTTCCAAATACCACAGCGTCCATTCACTGTTAAGAGGATGATGCGGCTCCGTTGGTAATTGTTCCGTTTCACTGCCACCAGCCACACCAAAGGTGACCGTATCCGAGACAGTTGCATCGCCGGGCGCCAATGGCGTCATATAACCACCATCTGTGGTGCATCCACTCAAATCGGAGCGTGGAGTCGATAGCGGTGAGCAAACGCTGCTGCCACCGCTGCAGCATGTTGCATTCATGACACTCTTATAGCTGGCGCTGCTGCTGCTGCCGCTGCCACTGCGTCCGCTGGCCGAGCTCGGCTTGTTGGCCTTCTTGGTAGGGGAGCAGCTTTGCACTGGCGTCGTGGAGAACTCTTCGTTGTTGGAGCACGACTTGAACATGGTCTTTGGATTGGCAAAGTTTTTCATCTTGTAAAAGTTAGACGGATACATAATGCACGCTTACGCTGAACTCTATGGAGACAAGGACAAACTGATTGAGTACACTAAACAAGATATCAATATATTGGTGGGCTTGCCTTTGCCTGCGAATAACTTGATCTCAATTGCCGTTTTTGTGTTCCTCTGTACTTTGCTCCAAATTCAAATTTGTTGCTTTTGATTTTAGGATTATCACAACATGCGAACGATGTTATTTCTGTTCTAGAAAGCAAACTGTATGACTGATTTATCAGGCGCCGCATACTCGACATTCTGAATTCCGTCGAATACCATATCAGTTCAAGCTAACAGCCAGCACGCCCTTCTCAACACTGTCCATGCGCCAACGTTCACCAAGTGCTGTAAGCTGATGCAATATGAATCTAGTCTGGGCACACTTAACAAACATTAGTTATACGAGTGCTTCATTGTTGCAACATTGAAACATTGGCGTGTTTAATAAAATGAACATGATGCCAGGGCTGGATAATGACTTCTATGGCTTTAACCTAACTGATCAAAACAATATTGTCACCTGGCAGATATTTCTCGATGACAAGGCTAAGGATGACGAGTAGAATATGGTCAAGGTTGACTCTCTCGTGGAGGATGTTCGTCTGCCAATAGCTGTGCTTAGGGCTGGCGAGTTACGAGTCGTCCATCCAAGTCTCCAGTTTTACGAGTCAAGGGTTACGTTCACGCTGAGCACGGGCAGCGGTCCCGTGCATATTTACGGCCAAACCATTAAGGATAATGTGAAACTGGTTTATATCAGAGGACGAAATAATAATCCTAGATACCAAAGTTCCCGCCACTCTAACCGAATCTAAGCAGCAATTCAGCTAGACCGGATTATTACTCGAGTTTTGAAGAACCTAAATACATTACAAAATATATATGTATATTGAGAAACTAAACGTGCATATCAAAAATAAACCAAATGTAAGTCAATTTTAAATACATTATTTACATATCTTATTGATCATCGCTGCTTAGATATACATAGACGTTGTTCGTTGAACACAAGATACTCCATTCTAATTACAGTTCCCTTAACTTATGCCAAGTGCTAGAACTGTAAAGTCCGCCCAGCCCTGCAAAACAAGTTTTGCAAAAAGTTGGCTGCGTGTTAAATATTTTAAAAGTGTAATAAGCTTTTTGCTTGATTTATATGTATCAATTTAAAAGCATGCTCAAATAATTATTCCCTAACAAAAGATGAATAAAAACAAACGTGAGCTCATTGAATGCAGCGTAAGCGCATTTTTTGTTTTGTTCAAATTGATGCTGGAAAATTGCAAAAAAAAAACCCTAACCAAGTAAAATCATACACGTAAGAGTGCTTGAGTTAAGATTGCTAAACTTGTAAATACCCTGCACGCTGCCCTGTTGCCCAATATAGAGAACATATTTGTAATTTTGAAAGTAACTCACCTTTTCCTTGGGTTAAATTTAATGAGTATTTAAATGTTGTATTTTCAAATCGAACGTTGCTGCTTCTAGTCAAATTGAAAGGGTATGAAATGGCTTGAACGAAAAGTAAAACGTGTAAATTTTCGAATTCTAAGTTGGCTATAGAGTCCTGGCCAAAGCCCAATTTCAATTCCAATCGCACGCAAAACTTGACGAGTTTCAAAATAAATATTTACACACACCCTCACGTACACACATCAGCACAACAGCCGCAACACACACAGGCGCACACACAAACACACACACACAGACACACACTCAACACACTTGGCCAACACGCTGGAGCAACACTTCACGCATTTCTTATTAGCTGCACTTCAAAAACTGTGCAAAGTTGCGCTCCAAACTTATTATGGCACTCGGTTGGACCTAAAAAAGAAACGGAAGAAAAGGCAAACGGAAGGAATTGGCCATGGGGAAGGGGATTAAGAGCGCCAACTTTAACTAATGGCAACATTTTTGTTTGCTCATGTCGAGTGTTATTGAGCCAAAGCAAAAGAGCAAACTTTCATTTGGCTCCGGCTGTCATAAGTTTAAATGGGGTTATTGGGCGAACAAGGAAAATCAACAACAACATCCAAACCAGTCGCAGCAGCAGCAGCACGAGCAGCAGCAGGATAAATGAAAAATGTCAAAGTCCAAGGCATGGCAACAAATCGTAGGACATGGCTGGCAAATATTTGTGCAATGGCCAAATGGAGAACCGAATCTAGTGATGGTAAATTTCAACATTTCGCAACTTTTTGCAGCGTTTTACCAATAAGTCAACAGCCTCATATTAAAGCATTGGCTACATTCTGGCTTACTTCAATTTATTATGCATTTAAGTTTAATATCTTTTTAAGCTTAATTAAGATTTCATGTTTACCCTGAAGACGCAACGCGGTCGCAAACAAAAGCAGCCGGAAGTCTCTATTTTGTTCCTAATTCAGTTAGAAAGTAGGGGTAGTCCCTCAGGCTGTAAAACGATTTAATTTTGTAAAAGTGTGACAGCGCTCATTTTTGTTCGGGCTGCCATCACTAACAAGTCCCATGGGTCAACGGTGCGTATTTTTCAAAAGAGGTTTTTTAAAATTTCCGATTTCAATGCAACAAAATCAGCTGTTCTTGCAAAATTCTTTGCCGTCGCTTTTGCTTTTGAAGATGTCTGCGCAAATAGCCCATAACTGTCTGGTTGGAAAACCCGGTTTGAAGTGGCCTTATCCAAAAACAATATAAATACTTGTAAATACTTACATGGCCTTATCCATTTTTGTATATTCCTATATTGCTACGAATGCCCTTGGACTTCAGTAATCCCTTTGAGAAATCGATTTCGCTTAAGCCCAAAAATAAGTTTGTGCCGAGGTCGAACTTTATGGTTTTAAATAAAACTCTAGCTCGAAGTATGAGAAATTTATAAATATTGCCCAAGAATGTTTAAGCTGCATGCCTCTAAGTATGCATTCACAAAATATCGCAGGTGTGTAAAACCATGTTGGTATTTAACCAAAAAGAAAACAGGTATCTGTCATTTAATGGAAGAAAGGTAGCTCCAATGGTTGAAGTATGACTGAAATAGTTATCAACAAAAATTGTAACACGCTTCTCACTTTATTACTCTACCTATCTCTCGCTCTCTCTCTCTCTCCGTCTCTCCCCCCGTTGACTCACAGCGTTCATGCAACAAAATAGAACATATCAAAACTGCATAAAACAAAACAACATGAGGCTGCCATGTTTTTTGTTAATTAAAATTGGCATAGCAGCAGCTAAGGCAACAACAAAAATGACCAAACTTTTGACTTAAAAAATGTTTAAAACGCATTTCCAAGTTGTTAGCAGACAGGTCGGGTTTTAAATATTACATACAAATATGCGCTCGGTTTTCGGATTAAGTTTTGGATTTCAATTTTTGCATCCATTTGGATAACGTGCGGATCAAATTGAAATATACGCTTAAATATCACAACAGTATATTCACATACACATATAGTAAAAAACATTTTATTTACACGTAAATATATATTCAATTTATATATTTTACTGAAATATATATTTGGCATACCTTCGTGCTGGTCGAACAGGTTTAATTCGCAGCTGCTCCAAAAAGTATGCTATACACAACTCTAAATTCAACTGTGCCATAGAAACAACTGCGAGACGAATCTTCGGCTCTACCTGACTGAGGTGATTGTTTCTATGTTAGAGAGAATTATTCGACTGGGTTCCGGTTATATTTTGCCGCAGGACGTAGCTAGATCTAAATCACAAGAACTCTGTTAGATTTTCCTGCACATTTTATGCTTTTGCAGTGCCAAAGGACTCACCATAGTCCTTTGGCTTTGCTCGTAATTATTCGTGTACCCATACACTATATAGTATATACATATGTATATATTGAATATCTTAAAGTAAGGCTAGCCTGCAACCATAGACAAAATACAATTTTAAGTATGTTAAGTCCTTGAAAGGAACTTCCAGTATGCCATTTACCTAGACATTGACTAATTTTTTATTTGGCAAGTGGCCACACAATTCTTGGGGAAGTTTGTCAAATGGCAGGGGGTGTGGCAACGCCAACGCCAACGCGTCGTCCATTCGAAAAGCGATTTATGTGCTGCCAATAAATTTACTCAACACTTTGGCCCCCAACTAATACAATATTTACATCAAATCGTTGTAATACATGAGCCACTTGGTTGGGGAGGGGGACGAACGTCCAAAATAAAAAATAGCAGTGCGTATTAATATACCCTGAACCCATTTACAATTTGGTAAAAAGGGTATAATGGTTTTGTGTAAATGTGTTTAACAGCATGGGGCTGCTTTTTCGATCTCTCATATCCCGCTCAGCATCAACAGCCGAACCGATCTAGCCATGTCCCTCTCTCTGTATGCCCTACCGTCCGTCCGTTCGTCCGTCTAACCATCCGTCTGTCCGTATGTATAGGCGCGTCGATCTTGGCTCTCGTTAAATATACAGAGATATACGGAAATATAGCCTTTGTTCCCTCTCTTTCTGATAGTTGTTAAAAACTCATTTAACGAGGTATGTTACAGTACACAGTATATATTTAAGCATAGCTAATTATAAAAAGAATGTCAAAGTTATTCAATAACACATTTCCTGTAGTTTGAAGTCGGGGACGAAGAAGCACATCCGCAGCGTATATGAATAGAAAAGAACTAAAACGTTTGTAATGACCGCTAGACGCTGGGTTCAGGGTATCACCTAGTCGGGCACTTCCGACTCGAGTACTCTTACTTGCTTCTTCTCCTTTGCTTGGGACTCGAAACGCGCAGGAAGAGTACCAAGGGTTCCGGCCGACAGGGGCGCCCCCTCCAAAGACTGTCATTTAAGTTAAAAGCGCATTTGTAAGTGCGCTGTTACTGTTCGAAGTGAAGGATGTGTGTATGTATGTGTATGTGTGTGCTTTGCAAGAGTATGAATGGAAAGGTCTGGGACACTAGACACTGTTGCTGGAAATTGAGGACTGGTGGGTATGTAAGACGCGGGTTGGGCTTGGGGTTCTGTGCACAGCCAGCTAGCTTTGGCCTGGGAGCCAATTTCAATCCCAGTTCGCTTTTTAAAAGCAAATCTGGCACAAGCTGCGCATTTCTTTGCGCATTTTATGTCTGTTGTGCTATGTTTTAGCATTTTTCTTGGCCCCTGGCACTTTATGACGGCGTTAAGTGTTAAACGGCAAACGGCCAAACCAGATCAAGCTCGGGCAGTCAGAAGCGATGACATATTTTGCTCCAGCCAACTGAAGCTTAATGTATATACTAAGATGTTTGGGCTCTTGCCGCTCAATGTTGCTACTAAACTTAAGGATATAATATATTTTAATAATATAATATAATATTGCACTGAAATATAACTCTTTTTATGCCCTTGTGGGGATTAATACATACTTGATAAATTGCAGACAGGATGGGTTTACTAAGCTGCCAAGAGAATGATCTTGCGCATATCAAGTTATTTACGAAAAATAGTTTGCCCAAACGCGACATTTATTATCTTTACTATGCTCCCTTCATATAAACAAAATCTTATCGACATTTGCCTACTTTATCATGGGAAAAATATCTTAAAAAAGAGTTTTGGTATAAAAAACATTTCTGTTTTTTAAGATAGCTGGATCTCAGTAATAAAGAGTTTCGCAGTTCTCTTTATATATCTGCAAGCCGCATCAAATTGGACTGCTATATGTTATGACTCCCATAGGAACAACAGGACGATAATAAAGCTTTTATATAAAATCACTTCAAAGCCTTATATACTATCTCACTCATAAAACATACTCATACCTGTTTAGTTCTATAATAATTTTATGTTCTCTCTTCGGCCTTCTGTGATATCTAGATATACACATAGCTTAACCAAATTTGACTTTACCTATTTACTGATATACCCTGTAGAACGTTGTGCAAATGTAAGAAATGTAAGAATACATTAATATAATTGAGCCAGCCATATTTGAATGTATGGCTGTAGAGGGTCGGATGTTGGGGACTCGGTCAAGTCTGTTTTTTGAAGGTACTCGGTACAGGGTATCTTCTGTTTAATCACTCTCGCTTATACTAATTGATTTTGTCTATTTACGTGCATTGTTATTTGTTATTTAAACAATGCAATTAATTAGAAGAGCAGCAATTTTTGTTATTTCAGTGCACGTATTAAATGAATACACAAAAATGCACATGCAGCAAATTGATTGAATATTACACAAAACAATATAAATATATTATAAAAATTGTTATTCAAATAGAAAGTTTGTAAAAGACTAAAGCAACAAAAAAAATAAAATAAAGAGAGATATAAAAAATATCCCATAAATTAATTACGCACACATATATTTATGTCCATTTGAATGTGTAAATTCAATTTAATTCAATTTAAAAATATTCAAAGTCCAAATACGTAGAAGCAAAAATTCGCATAGATCTGCATCAATCAGAGCTCAGATTGAAATTATTAATGCCCGATTTAAAACTCAAGTGCATGAGACTAGAGAAATTAAAAGAAGCCACCAGAGAGAAATGTATTTCTCTTAAATGGTTAAGATAGTGCGTAAAACATTATGCCCCAATTCATATTCCCGCAACATATAGTAAAAATCTGCTGAGTTTTTGTGAAAGACTTTTACATACATTCACATTCACTTTGAAGCTTTCACATGCAAACAAATCAACATGAAAACTGATAAATAATGATAAAGCGACCTTGATATGTAGATTTCAGAGCCATATAAAAAAATTATAACACTTCAGTTTCGTTGGAAACATAAAAGCATATTTTTCAGCATGTCGAAGATCGAATACTCTTGCTGGCATTATCATAGAAGCGAACGTTACAATTTCAGCTATCGATTTGGACTTAAGGCTTTGGAATTAATCAAATAGAGGAAGTTTGCTGACAAAGTCAACAGTTGTTAGTTGCACAATTCATAAGAAAATGAAAATACACTGAACAAGTGAATAGCAGCAATTTAAATGATAAGCCAATGGGCTACATCTTTTTATGCTCTGTCAATCTAAGAGACGAACGAAACTATGTTTGCAGTTTCAGCAATCTTTAGATTTGGGTTATCATGTTTAGCCAGCAATCCGCTCGTACTATCTCAACATGGTTCTGCCAAGGTTGTAGACCTCAGAGCGGCTGCATGCCACATCTGTGACACGCGACGTGCAACTGTTCAACTGTTGGCCACCCACCACTCGCAGAGCCACGCAATGACGCAACTTGTCGTTTGTTGGGCGTGCAACAGAAGCCAACAGCAGAGCCGACAACTGTTAACTAACAGGGTCACAAGTTAAGGCGTTTATTTGCCCAAATGTTTTCCATGAATTAATAGGCGCTTTAGGCGAGACTGTCCGACCGTAAGGTACACTATTTGCAATTTACATACTTGTGCTGGAATAATTACGTCTCCTACAGGTGTAAATCAATTCTACGTTCGGCAAGTATTGATCTGCTCATATATCAGAGTGCGCACTGGTGTATTTCCGTATCTTTTCATTTGAGGCGTACAAAGATAGATAGCATGTGTATGTCTTCGATTTACAGAAGTGTGGTATAAAAAACCTAGATAACAAATATGCATAAAAAACAAAATACGTGCTTAAGCAAGAATTGAGAAATTAATTGGCACAGCTGAAGACTTTGAAAAAAAATTATTGTTTAAATAGATAAATAGGGATGTTTACTTGAAGAAAAAAAAAAAACGTGCAAATAGCATTATTTCGAGAGTTTATGAATAAGAGTTTCGAACATCTACCAATTAAAGAAAAAAAAACAAGCGTCTACAAACAGATAAGTCTCAGGCTAAAACATGCAAAAATACATTCTTTACTCTTATCCAAACATACTGGGTATCCCCGATCTTTATTGATTTCAATTGTTTACCATGCTCAGTGGCTGCTACTTAGTGACAAATACTTATTTGGCAGCCTATCTTATGCCAAAAGGCCAATCAACAGAAGTGCACTTAAAATTCACAATTGGAATGGAATTGGAATGGTAATGGAAAAACTGTTTTTATCAGTGGACAAAAGAAAGCGAGAAAAAAGATATTGCAAATATCGAACAGGAGTGGAACAGGCTCTTAGGGCAAAGGTAATTGAAAGGAAAATGAACATGATATATTCATGTGTGGGATCTGGCTGAGTGCGTTCTATAAGTAAATGATAAAGCAGCAGGTAATAGTTTATAAAGACAAAGAAAAATAAGTATGAGCATATCTGTAAATGTACAGAAATGTGTTTACTTGAACCCAACAAAAACCATTTTATCAAATATGGCGTTAAGACGTGTACATCGACGTCAACGCTGCCGAAGTCGCTTTGGTTGAGAGCTAGCCGAGCAGAGAATGGAGCCGCTGGCTGCATTTTAGAAGTAGCTGTCACAAGTCAAACATCGAACGTTGAGCGGGTAGTTCTCGGCAGTTGTATATTTGAAATTGGAGCGGTGCTGCTGCATATCATCTTCACATCACTGGGGCTCTCTATAGGGCAACTGAATTCAATATGCTGGGAAATCATTCGCGTCTGATCAAGATATTCTTTGTGATAATTTCCATAAAGCTCTTCTTAATACTCGTACTCTTCGCTTACAATAATTCCAATGTGAACCGTTTTCGACCCCGTCGTATAGTTTTTATCGATGAGCTGCTGATTGACAAAAGCGCGAGTAAGTTACCTAGTTGCCTTGATTCTACTTCTATCGATTAATCCGAATTATGTGCTAGCGCCCAGCTGGCAGGAGCGGCTGAAGCTGATACGCGAGGAGATGCCCTCGTTTCCGCTCGAGGAGCTATCCCATAGACCGCCTTTCGAACCCAACTGCGGACGTGTTCCCAGTATACTGGGCATTGATTATAGCAACGATTACTGGCAGATGGCGCATGTCTCTAATCTGACTTATTATCTCTTTGGTGCGTATTACGATAACAGAGAAAAGATGACCGAGGCGCCGCTGGTGCGGGTGCTCACCATGATCAATCAATATACCAAGCGTAACGAGGGCAAGTATCCCGAAACGTTTTGTCAACTGTGGTACAAGAATCGCGTGGATCCCATTGTTGTATCTGTCACAGATCACAAGCTAATTTGGTTTTGGGGCGGTGGACCGCCACAGGTCTTTCCAACGCTTCTCAGTTGCCCTTTGCCCAAGAAAAACGGCACCATCGTGGAAGAGGTGCCCGAGATGGTGTCGCTGGTATCAGAGCGCTGTGAGAAGGCTAGGAATTTGTTGCGCGTCGTGTACGAACGGGATGGGAGCAGTACAGACATCCTGCCAACTGCTTCGCGCAAGGAGCAGGACCAAAAGGATATCCCAAAACAACCAAAAAAGCCACTTCGTTTCATGGTGTGCGTCAAGGCCATGGACTTTCTCTACGTTGACATGTCCTCGCGGCTAATTGAATGGCTCGAACTGATGCGCCTGCTCGGCGCCGGCAAGGTGGTCTTCTACGATGCTCAGATGCATCCGAATATGACGCGAGTGCTCAATGATTATGTAGAAAACAGCCCGGATTTCGTCGAGCTGCGCCCCATGTCGATGTCGCGTGGAGTGCCGCACACGGGTCGCCACTTTCATCACTACGCCATGGGTGTCGACAATTTTAATCGAATACTGAATGAGATGATACCCTACAACGACTGCTTTTATCGTAACATGTATAAATACGACTACATTGGCGTCTTTGACATCGACGAAGTCATCATGCCGCTGGGCAACGTCACCAACTGGTCCGATCTGATCGAGCTGGCGCACAAGGTGCCCGATTATCAGAGGGACTCCACGAACTGCAAGAACTGGGCGAGCTTTTGCTTTCGCAACGTCTACTTTCCCCGCTACCCGGAGCGGCCCAAGGTGTACAAGGAGCTGCCAAGCTTCTACTATATGCTGCAGCATGTGGAACGCGTGGCAGAGCACTGTGATCGGTATTCGGCAACCAAATGCCTGCACTCCACTCGGTATGTGATTGGACTGCACAATCACTTTCCCCTCTTTCATGCGGAAAACGGTGAATGCGATCCCAAATCGGTGCCAATTGAGTTTGCACAGCTGCATCATTACCGCGAGCCAGACAACAAGACGCGCCTCATCGATCCCATTATAGACGACAGCATCTGGCGGTTTCAGCCAACGCTTCAACAACGTGTCTATGCCAAATATAAGAAGTTAGGATTTTTGCCCGACATCAGCCAAGTGCTCAACGCTGAGATTCAACGCCGAAAGGACGATGAACGTAAGCTACAAGAAGCGATAGGCATGACATAGATAGTGCTATCTCGGCGTGTGCACTAAATACATTTTTTTTTTTTTTGTTAACATGCCTTTATTTGTGTTTGGATTGAGTTTCCTAAATACTAAATGCTTTTGATATTCATAAAATTTATTAGAGCCATGTTGCGCGTGATATTGTTGCTATAAGTTAATTAATTATTTGGGAAAGTACCTAAATTCCAACACCGTCAATATAACTACCTCACTCAACTCCATAATACATCCTACAAATATATATATATTTATTAAATACTTAACTCATTCTGTATTTTAATGGACAAAACTGATATCAATATTTATATATTTTTTTTAATATATATTAATTAATTAATTTATATATGTAATTAATGCCTGCAAATGGGTTGAAAAGTGGGCACTTTGCACATATGCTGGAAAATTGAACAACTCTATAAAGAGAATAATAATAATATTATGGATAGTGCATGGAACCCAAATGGACTCGGCGTCAGTCGTAATTCAGCTGTGTAACTAATTTCCAGCTATTATTGAGTCTCATCATTATTTGCGATATCAAATCGATACATTGCTGTTCAAACTTTAACCAACATATATAATAAAATTATTTTAATATTTTATAAATTATACAGGTGGGGATTTTGAACACATAATCCAAAAAAATAGGTCAATAGAGAACACTATAATAGATTTAGTGTTGCGCGTGGCATCCAAATTAACTCTACGTCAATCAAAATTCAGCTGTGCAACCTAAAATCAACCAGTCTTAGGCCTCATTAAACATGACAGTTATTTACTTGTTTGAAATTGTTATTTTAAGCTGGAATTACTCAAAATGTTTTGCTATATTTGTGTTAACCAAACAGCTATAATGAAAAAAAGCCCAAAAAGACGTCATGACAGAGACTGTGACATAGCAAGCCAAGCGGAATGTGGCATAAGTTATAAGAATGACAAACAACCGCCAAATGTGCTGTGTCCCCGGAATTGTCGGGAAGTTATGCATGGAGTCAGTCTCTTGCCTAAGGCGCTGACTTGCATTACCCGTCTGGCAATGCGATGCGCCTGGGGGTATGCAACCACCGCCACAAACCAAACGCAAACGCAACTAAACGGTAAACGAAACTAGCTTTGCTGTGTGTGCGTGTGTGTATGTGTGTATACCCAAAAGTGTGCACAAAAACGCACCTGAGCGCAAATGAATGATTGTGTTGTGCAGTCGCTGCTTTTTCTCGATGCTCCGTCCTTGCCTCATGTCCTCGCAAAAGTTGGACAATGGTCGAAACTAGGGAATTTAACAATCAGCAAGCGCTTGCTTAGCAAGTAAAAATGTAGTTGCATTTATGAACTATCCTATTATTGATAGATCGTCTACGAACTTTTGTAATTCCCATTCACGTGACCTGGCCATTTAAGCATCCAAGCCACGAGGATTTAGGCTCGAATCCCCGGCTAGTCTACGGCTGTTATCTAGTCTTAACCGAAGGTAATACAAACCTATGCTTTTTAAAAGGAAGGAAGCTCCATAATATGGAGTTATATTCCATACCATACTTCGAATTAAAATACTTTCAGTAAAATAATGCAGTGAAAACTCTCATGGGCGAAAAGCATCGAGTTTTCGCTGTAATACTAATACTTTAATTTATTTTTTAGTGAGCGGTGGATAACATAAAAATATTAATAAAAAATAATAATTATAATAATAATAACATTGAAAATCATAAAAATAATATTATTTATAATAATAGTATTATTTACACTAATGATAATTATATTACTCAAGCGCTTTTGCACTTTTCAAACGACTCCCAAAAGTATGCTATACTTTTGTCAACTTTTTTGGACTTTTTGGCGGCTGCATAAAGATTGCTGCCCACTGTACAGCTCGGCGTCGCGTTTGCTGCTTGTTGGCCAAGTGCGCATCCTTTGCTGTTGCTGCTTGTTGCATCGTTTTTTGGCTCATATGTTGCAACCTTTCGCTTAAGCAAATTGCCAGCATGTGTGTCTGTGTGTGTGTGTGAGTGTGTGTGAGTATTTTTGTGTGCCTTGATGAGTTTGCGTTTGCTGGCTGTGCGGCAGTGCCTTGTACTTGCGGCTTGCAAAAGGCGCTGAGTTATTGTGCTCGTGCAATGGATGCAGCGACAGCAGCTATCCCAAAATGGCAACGTGCAACATGGAGGTGCTCCCAATCCACACCAGCTGCGTGTGCGTGTAAATGTGTGTGTTGCATTTCACTTAAAATGCTTTTAACCAAAACATTAAGCAGCTGGTGTCACATTACATCACAATGCAGACCAGCGTTAGTTGCTACAAGCCGCAGCAGCAACAACAACAAGTACAACAAAAACATCAGAAGCAGCCGCCACAAGAGCTAGTCGAACCCTTGCACTTGCAGCAGCAGCAACAATTTTATAGCCTAAATAAGCTCCAAACGCTGCTTAAAACCCAGAAAGAGGAATTCAAAAAAATAAAAAAAAACAACGACAGGTAAGTGCGCGAATTTATACGTGTATACATTTTTTTAAATATTTCACTCCTGTGTTAGCTAATGCCAGGCAGATAGATTTTTTTATTACTTTTGTTTCAGCTATGTTTTTAACCCCAAAAATTAAGAGCCAAGAAAATACGAATGTAAAAGATCAACATATCTACATATAAATTTAATTTTATTTAGAACTATGATTCTTATATGTAGAGAACCAGGTACACAAACCAAACCTTGAGGCCTTGGTTCGAGCCGCGAGCTAACAATTTTTTAATTAGAATAAAATACTTATAGACTTAAAGTTAACGAAATTGAAGGGCCTCCTTCGGCACGCCGAAGATTTAATACCCTTGCAGACCCAACCCTTTCATAATGCTCATAGTGCTTTGCCCGTATCTAAGCACAGGGAAAATAGTAAATGCCGAGTATGGTTACGATATCTTGAAAAAGAAAAAGGTTTTCATACAACTTAATTTTCGACCGATCATAGTTCGAAAAAGTAGTCCTATGTAAATAAGATTTTGCATAAATGTAGGGAACCTAGTGAAACTATTAATGGCGAGTTTGGTGAAGATACCTTAAAAAACAAAAAAGTTTTCTTACAACAACTTAATTTTCGACCGATCGTTCCTATGGCAGCTATATGATATAGTGGTCCGATCCAGCCCGTTCCGACATATGTACTGCGTGCAACAGAAAGAGGCACTTCTGCAAAGCATCATAAAGATAGCTTTAAAACCAAGAGCCCAGTTCGCATAGAATCAGACAGACGGACAGACGGACATGGCTATATCGACTCGGCTTTTGATACTGATCAAGAATATATATGCTTTATGGGGTCGGAGATAGCGCCTTCTATGTGTTACACATTCTACGACAAAATTATAATACCATCTGCTAGGGTATACAAATTCCAAGGATCAAGAACAAATGAATTCAGACAATTTTGTTCGATTTGTTATCTTCATCATATCATGTAGCTGCCAATAAAACAATTGATGCGAAATTTACCCGTTGTATGGAGAGAGATAATAAAAGATGCACAACATAAATTTGGATATTTTGCATTTAATTAAACAAAAGCTTAAATTTGTTTACTTCAATCATTCTTGCCAATATGAATAAATACATGCTTCTTTAATCTTTTACACATTCCTTATTTTTTTTTGGTTTTGTTTTTCTCTGGCTTCCATTTTTGTTGCTGTTGGTGTGTTTATTTGCCCTCGATTCAGTTTTAATTACTGTGCATTTGTTTGTTGTTGTTTTGCGCTGCTGACTAATCAGGCCAATATTAAATTGTTAACTAACAGCCAGAGCCTGGATATTATATTCTAAATGGAATAGAGTTTTATGCCTCGCAAGCTGTTTATTATTTATTATAAAAGGGCATTTTCTTCAGCTCTTTGTTGTTGTTTTTATCGTTTTATTGGCTGCGGTCCGGTGTGTGTAGTAGAAAAACCAAAGAAAATTGAAAATAAATTGCATGGTAAAATGTTAAAGGCCATGGGCAAAGATTTTGCCAGCTTATTAGCTGAAATGCTGGCCCAGCCAGGTCGGCCATGTTCCGGTTGTGTGTTAGGTCGGATCAGGTCACTTGATTCGTGGCTGTAGTCCTTGTGCAGCTTTGCGTCAAAACAAGCTACGGCTACACCTTTCAGACGTAAACGTCAATGCCATAGACATGCACACACACACACACACACACACACACGCACGCCCACATGCAACCATGAATGAAGTGCCGTCAATCAAGCCGTTTACAGTCTTTGCTGCCAATACAAATGGTAAAGCATTATATGCACCAGCCCAGCTTAGACCTGCAATTGATTGCTTGTTTATTCAAATTAAATTTTGCATAATAAACTAATCGAAAAACTACCTCAAATTTTGTGTTGTGCTTGCCCGTAAGTGAGAGGGCCAAAACGCATTTGCTCTTTTAATAATTGATGCCAACGCACATGCAGAATTGCCCATAGATGCATTTAAAGCCATTGCCCAGCTGACCAGCAATAACAGCAACAGTTTTCGTCCAAAGTACGGAGCTGCGCATCGAGGCCTCTTTGGCACTGTGCCGTCGAGTCCATAAATCACTTTAATACCCGCACTCCATGTAGAAGGGGCCCATTTACAGTCGCCTACTGCTACAACTAAGACCAATGGCATGGGTTGAAGGGTTTGTTGGGACTCTGCCAGGAGCGAAGACAACGTGTACGGGTGTACAAAATTCAAATCGAAAGGTCTGTACTGATTTTCAGCTCACTTTCGAGAAGTGATTGATATCTTTTAAATAAACTTGGGCCAGTATTGAAACTCTTTCATTTACATGCTTATATCTTTGCTTTATACGATAGATAAATATTTATCAAGTGGCCTCCATGCGGAGAGTACTCCACAGAATACTCCCATCGAGCCGCAGAGCCACTTTATATCTTCGGAAGTTCCAAGTGTCTTTTAACTGAAACGTACACTCAATTAGCTTAAGACCAGCATCATATCCACTCAACGCAATTGCAAATATTGCTCTTAAATG